AGTCACCAAGCTCATGATGTCAATCGCCATCCTCGCCCAACATCAAGAGGTCGATCTGAGGACCATCTTGCAGCTCATCCACTACCCTTATAACTAGAGGAGGCGAGTGTGGAATGTCGGGGTCAACGACACCCCGCGTCTGGAGATGAACCTCTCCCCCAGGTAGTAAGCCCGACCGGACCCTCGAATAGAATCCTCATGGTGGAGGCATACCATACCACGACGTAGGTCGTCCTCGATACTTGGGGAGTGCCCGTCTAAGGATGCTAGTCAACTTGTGAAATCAGTGCAGTGTCAAAAATCAGTACAGTGCGGGAAATCAGTCCAGTATGAGAAGTCAATGCAGTATCAGATGTTAGTGCAGTGCCAGAATCAGTATAGTGTGAAAAACCAACAGTATGAGAATGACGGTGCAGTGTGGGAAACAGTGCAGTATGCTCATAGTATGTAACAGTCAAAGGCTGGTATTTTGTTATCTGGTATGTAGTGATCGTGTCAAAGAAGTCGTGAAAATAGAGGAAATCTCGGTCTACGCTGCGGCGGCACTCAATCGGGAGTTGTAGTACTATGAGCAAGGTACTGACAACTCTATCGGCCTCACCGGGACCGGAGCCAAAGATGCAAAGTATATGTAAACCCAAAGCTGCAAATAAAAAAAGATAGATGAAGCAAATGAGCAGAAAATGAAAATGAGTAGAATGAACAAAAAAGATGAATGTGAGGCATACCTCCCAAACTCTCCAATAGCTGCCGAGTGAATCCACCTTGTGGCGGGAGACGGAGCTCATATAGCAGTATAGGATGGCCAAACCAGCGCCACCCCAATTGTACTCTGTCACCTGAGGAAGGTGCACTAGTGCCCTCAAAAGATACAACCCCACAGTATTTTCCATGTTCGTAAATAGAGTAGCACCGAGGAGATACATAAGGAGGCCACGGGTGTACTGGGCGACCTCATCTGGAGTAGTGGGCTGAAAGTCGGAGAAGTACTCGAAGAACCAGCTGTACCTCACCATCCCGTGGTTGGTAATGTCTGGGATCGCTCCAAGAAGCTGACGTTGTGTAACTCTCCACTACGTCATGTCAGGATCGCATGGGATCGGGCTGCCAACTCCAACCCGCAAGCCGATGGGCATTACAAAGTCGTACGTGGTCAGAGTCATCTCCCCGATCGATGAGAAATTGAATGAGTATGTGGTGTCCCATCATCTCTCAACCAGGGCCCCATACTACAGTGACTCGGCTCTCATCTGTATAAGCCCTGAGCAGAAGGGTTCGAAGCCAGCTACGTCAACTAATGCGCAGACCTCTATGAGCAGTCTCTCATACCAACGCCGAGGTCTGGATATGGATCCGTATCCACCAATCCTCCTAGCTATCACCTACAAATGGAAAATATACGGCATTTAACTGGTGGTCTATTTGTGAGCTTCAACAATGCATCAAAACAAAATGAAAGTTACTTACTGTGGAGGCATTGACGAACAAGTGCTCTGTGGGCTCTCGTAGCAAGATATCCTCGTTTATCCCGAGAATGAGGCCCTCGAATCTCAAAATCCTACTAGAGGGTGGAGCGTGTGTGCGTGGTCGGTATATGGCCGCGTCAAATGGCCTATCAACGAGGGGAGGCAACACGGGAGCGTCCTTCGCCTCCATGTATACGTCTAGGGCAGCCACAATACCAATGGCGAGGTCTAGAATGGGAACTTCGTCACTAGCCATGGAGAAAAATGGAAGAAATGAAGAGAAATCAAGAAAATGTAAGGGGCTAAGCCCTAGGAGAGAGAAAATGAGAGAGGAAAATGAAAACACGAGAGTGAGTCCCCAAAAAACCAAGAAAACTCGTAAGAAATAAGGCAAAAACAATGAGAAACCCAAAAACTTGGCCGAATCAAAATCCAATCGGTTTAAAATGTAGAGGAGAGAAAGGGTTTTGAATAAAAAGTGGCGAGGTTTGTTGATAAACGCAAGGAAAAAAGGAAATCTAGAGAGAAAGGAAAGCTAAAGAGAGAGCGGAAGTGATTTCGGGCAAGAAGGTGTGAGGAAATAAGGTTTGGATTTTTTTTAAACACATAAGTCGCGAGGAAAGGCCAAAACTGCCCCTGCCATTATCGACGCCGGCTGGCTGTTGCAATGCCGGCCGTGCTTCATTAAGGCCCGGCCGGCCCTCAATGACAACACAGTACAGCACAGTTTTGTTCTTTCCCTCTTTCTCTTCCTTTCTGTTATTTATTTCTTGTTTTATGGAGTTGAAAAATAAGAGAGTTCAAAAAAAAAAAAGACAGTAAAAAAAAAAGCAAGATGAAAAACCAAAAAAAATAAGAGAGTTCAAAAGAGAAAGAAACAGTGAAAGAAAAAAAAAAGAAAGGAGAAAACCAAAAATAAAAAATAAAAAGAGAACAAGAAAAGAAAGGCAAAAAAAAAGAGAGAAGAAAGAAGAAAAACGAAAGATAATAGACTAAAAAAGAAAATAAGAAATAATAAGAGAGAAAAAATAAAAATAAAAAAAGAAGAAGAAAGGTTTTTGTTTATATATATATATATATATTTATTATGTGAACGCATTTGTTTGATTCTTGATTTAATTTGTTTAAAGTTTACTTGTTCAAACTCATTTGTTCAAAGTTTTAATTTATTTAAACTATCCCGAGTAGTTTATAATCTGCTTTATCTAAATCATGGTTCATTCTGTTATTATGTTCTGTTGTAACCAGACGATATTGTATGTATGGTTCATTCAAAAGAGTTCCAAGTAAAATCATTCGTGCCACAATAAAATCATCGTCCATTTCACAACCGAATTGAAACACGGTGCACTATGTTCATTGTTTTACCACATGGGTAAATTGGCTTCCACTTTACTACGCCGCTTTGATTGTTTTGATTTTGCGCCTTTCTGTGTAGAGTCCTTGTTTATTTCTAATTCCTACTTATGTGATTTCCTCCTCTCACGTGTGACGCGTTAGGATTGTATCCTTAGTTAAAAACATCGAGTGCGCCAAGTGTTCACACCACTTTTCCTCCTCTCGCATGTGACACGTTAGGATTGTATCCTCGGTTAAAAACATTAGGTGTGCCCGATGTTCACACCACCTTTCCTCCTCTCGCGTATGATGCATTAGGATTGTATCCTCAGTTAAAAACATCTAGTACGTTCGGTGTTCACACCACATTTTCTTCTCTCGCGTGTGTTACATTAGGATTGTATCATCGGTTAGAAGCATCGGGTGCACCCAGTGTTCACAACACCTTTCCTTATCTCGCGTATGACGCGTTAGGATTGTATCCTTGGTTAAAAACATCGGGTGCGGCCGGTGTTCACACCACCTTTCCTCCTCTCGCGTGTGACGCGTTAGGATTGTATCCTCGATTAAAAACAACGGGTGTACCTGGTGTTCACACCACCTTTCCTCCTCTCGCATGTGACCCGTTAGGATTGTATCCTCGATTAAAAACATCGGGTGTGCCCGGTGTTCACACCACCTTTCCTCCTCTTACGTATGACGCGTTAGGATTGTACCATTGGTTAAAAACATCGGGTGCGCCTGGTGTTCACACCACCTTTCCTCCTCTCATGTGTGACGCGTTAAGATTGTACCCTCGATTAAAAACATGGGGTGTGCCCGGTGTTCACACCACCTTTCCTCTTCTCGCGTGTGACGCATTAGGATTGTACCCTCGGTTAAAAACATTGGGTGCGCCCGGTGTTCACACCACATTTCCTCCTCTCGCGTGTGACGTGTCAGGATTGTACCCTTGGTTAAAAAGAGCAGGTGCACCTGTGTGTTCACACTACCTTTCCTCCTCTCGCATATGACGTGTTAAGATTGTATCCTCAATTAAAAACAACAAGTGCGCCTGTTTGTTCACACTACCTTTCCTTCTCTTGCGTGTGACGCGTGACGATTGTTTACCTTGGTTAAAAAACATTAGGTGTGCCTATTTGTTTACACCACCTTTCCTCATCTCGCGTGCAACGCGTTAGGATCTCGGGTGCGCTCGATGGTTACGTCGCCCTTCTCCCTTTCTACATGAGGCGTAGTTAGGTCTGTATTTTTTTACATCCTTTCTACATGAGATGTAGATTGATTTGTACTTTCTTTGTGTTTTTCACACGAGACGTGCCTGTTTATTCATTTCTTTCCGTGTGAAACACGGCGAGGTTTATTTTGCTTTGTTTTGCATTATCTTTCAAACGTTGCATTATTGTCTAGATTGTTGCATTGTTTCATTACTTCATTTATGTTATGTTTCATTGCATGATCATAAGTTATTTGCTGCATTTCGTTTTTGCATTTTGCCCCGAATTCAATTTTTGCATTTATGTCTTGATTTCTTGCCCGAGACTTGCAGCCTTGTCAAATGGGTCATCTCTGGGCTTTGACATTCACTCACGTCACTTTATGACTTTGAGCTCTGTCAAAGAAAGGCAACTGTGGACACCCCATTTTGATCACCTGTAAGGCTCGAGTGTTTTACTCAGAACACTCGATGATGAAAGTGGTATTGTGCATGGTTCGAGGTCTCAACGATTGAGCCTTATTTAAGCTTCGAAACAACCCCAAACCTTGTATATTCCCAATGATCATATCCATTTTTACAACTTGGACCATTTTTGGGATCGTTGTGTCTTTCAGTTTCGTCGTGCCGTCACACCTCTCGGCTCCGATCAATCGAGATCTCCGTCATCCCCAACTCCTTCCTCTCATCCGATATGATTGTGAAGAAACTAAGATCTGTGCAGCGACTCTTCCGTTGGATAAGGCTTGTGGAGATGATCATGATGATGATGGGTGTTGTGAAATTATGCATTGAATATTGATAACTAGCACTATCTGCTCCGATTCTGCCTTCAAGCCTTAACTTGTTAGGGGGGCTCTTGAAAAGAGTCCATTCGAATCAGACTCTGAGAAATTCTTCATATATCATATATATATGTTTTTTTTTTTAAAAAAAAATTATTTGTTAATTGTTTTGAGTTTGAAACATGTATGAGAGAAATTGAAGTGATGAATATTTCCCCAAATGATCGAAATTGAAATTACCGAGCACTATTCTCTTTTAGAGAAAAATCCAAGCTAGGATATTCTAATCCATCTCTCTTTTTTTATATATACATTTATGTGCGTATATATATATATATATATCTAATGCTTATGGATTCTATCTTGATATGTTTCTGTTTCCGATCGTGATGATGATAATGATTATCGATTGATTCATCGTCTACCCCAAGTAGTTGTAGACGGTTGTTCTTCAAACCGCCCTCCTTTTTGCTTGTGGATTCTATTTTGATTTGTTTCTATTTCCAATCATGATGATGATAATGATTATTGATTGATTCGTCGTCTACCCCAAGCATCTTTCTCTTTTTTCTTTTTCTTTTTTTATTGTAACAGATAGCGACAAAAATACTTTTTGTGTGTGTGCGTATGTGTTGTTGTTGAAATGTTTATATTTGTTCAAATTTTTTAGTTGTTGTTGTTGTTGTTGTTCAAATTTTAAACAATGGAGAGTTATTGATGATGATAGAAAAAAATTAAATAGATAGGGTTTTGTATGGCTCTGTATTGCAACAGATAGAGGTTGGTTTGGCTTTGTATTTCAATAGATAAAATTTGGTTTGGCTTACTATTTCAACAGATAAGATTTGGTAAAAAAAAATTGAAGAGATAGAATTTTGACAGATAAAATTCAATGAAAATTTTGAACTAATAATAAAATTTCGAGAGATATTTGAACAAATAGACAAAAAAATTTGAACAAATAGACAAAAAATTTGAATAGATAGGTATAAATTTGAACAAATAATCAACGAAAAGTCAAACAGATAAAAAAAGTCAAAGGGTAAAATTAAAAATAAAATGTCGTCCAGAACTTTTCACCAAACTATTTCCCAAAGTGTGAATTTCTCACTATAAATAAAATAAAATAAAATAAAATAAAATAATAATAATAAAAAAAAAAACCATTGGACAAATGCCTTAGATTTTCTATAGTAGATTTTTGAAAAATTTTCTCCTATAAATTTTCTTCACGAACTTATTGATTTATCAATAAAAATCCTACTTTTTTTCCCGGTTCTATTAAATAAAAAATTATATTTGTTTTTTTTTAAAAAAAAGTGAGGTTTGATATACTCCACATGATGGTGGCCAATGGAGTGGTAAAGGAAATTAGGGGTCTTTTCCCAAACTAAACCCCTACACTATTTTATTTTTCAAACTAAGTCTAGTTTGGCCGAATTTCCCAAACTAAGCTGAAACATATTTACTAAACACGCTTTCAGTATTTTTGTGGTCCAGACAAACAAAATAAACAAAATTATGAAAGCGTGTTTAGAAAATGCGCTTTTAATTAAGGTCTCACGGTTACAAATCGCACGTTTATTAATTATCGCGTTAATTAATAAAACGCAATTAAAAAACGTACAACATGAAAACGTGTTTTGAAAACATGCTTTCAATAAATAAAAATTAATTAATTAATTAATTTTACACCCACATCACTCACACTCACATCACTCCACTCACTTTCTCTCTTTCACACACATTCACACACACTTATAATAAATAAATAAAAATAAAAATAATTAATTTTATTGATTATATTTATTTTAATAAAACATATATAATTTTTAATATATATAAATTTTATTTTTATAAAATTAATACCAATAAAAAGATATCAATCATATTTTTAAAATGAGACCAATATTAAATATATATATATATAATAATAATAATTACTTTGTGCCAAATATTTTTTGTTTTTAAATTCTTAATTTTGAAGATAAATATTTATACTGACATAAAACGGCTATAGGAAAACCATTTTACAATACGGCTTTAGCAAAGCCATTTTTTAAAAAATGTTTGTTTTTTTGGTTTGTTAGTGTTGGTTTTGGTTGAATACACGTTTTTGCCCTGCTCCCCAGTCCAACACATACAAACAAAGTCGAAGAGAAAGGAAGAAAGACGAAGATAGTGCACAACGGAGGAGGGTAATCACTTCTTTGGTTATCACTGTTGAACAGATGAATGAATTCAGAGATCTTGTTTGTTCCCTTAAATATTTGTTGCCAAGAAATATTTAAATAAAACTTCACACAACATATACAAAGTATCTAATTTGCTAATTACTACTACGAACAGGGAAACAAAATAAAGGTATAACTATAACACTTATAACACTTTAGAACAACGTAACTAGTTCAAACATAAGTATTTTACAAAAATAATTTGTGGAAACATTCAACATAACACAGTACATAAAATAAAACGACGAGTACAATACTTAATAGTTACATAGACAAATATTAGACAAACCTTTCACAAACTCATTGCCAGAAGAGTTATTTTAACACACACAGTACATAATTATAGATAACATATAATTTAGTAAATAGATAGACGCCTAATCCTCGCTCAAATCGGCAATCTCAAAGTCCGAACAATTTAAGAGCTCAGGGTTAGAGAGAAGTGTAGGATCCTCCTTGATCGCCTCAACATTTGGAGTTGTTCCTTTCTTCTTGGCATCTGACTTAAGTATAGATAGTTTCATATCGCGGGCTAACCTACGACACATTTGAGAAATCTCACGTCGAAGTCTTTCACATAGTCGATCAGCATTATCTGGATCTTCCTTTTGGATCTCAACTGAATGTGCTTTTGGCACCTTCAGTTGATTTTCTTGACATAATCTTTCCATTTGCACTTGCTCTATAAATAGTGCGGGCCACTTCAGAAGTGTAGCGTCTGCTAAACCATATATTGTTTGATTATCAGATGGATCCTCCACAAAACCACATGGATCTCAATAGTACATGGGCATGAAAAAATGTCACTTCCCAAACCTATCATGATAAGTACAATAGGCATCTAACAAAGCAAATGGTGTTTTATCTTCAGCATCGCCACTTCCCCTTCCCGTTTCTCTTCATCGGCGTGAACTCTCACCTCTTTCGAAGTTCCTACCCCCTACGAGTCCCCTTCCCGTTCCTCTTCCTCGTCGTGAACTCTCACCTCTGCAATTCATATCCCCTGTCATGAATCTATACTCTATTTGATTTTTTCTCAATAAATGAACAATAGTTTCCTAGGGCGAACTGAGTGGAAAGGTTGTGTGTTTACCTTCATTTCTTTAGTCCTTTATATAGTTGTTTGTCAACACTATTGTCAAGTGGTCGTATTAATGTGACTTAGATGAGTTCTAAAATGCAAGAAAAAAACAAAGCATCTAAGTCGCGCTGCACAAAGTCACATGCCATTAAAAGCCCACATTTACCAACACATCTTTATGAGTTGTCATTGTAAGGAATAAATAATCAATGCTAAACACGCTCCACACAATCAGTACTTCAATCGTCACTCGAAAGTGACTACTCACTTTTTCAAAAAAGACCAATCATCCGTACGCTGTTTACTGTGGCCATGTGAACTTGGCCATTTCATTGAGTCCTTTAATTTATTACGTCTGTTAAAGTCACTGCATCACTAAGAAATGTTGGATGTATCACTGCGAGGACTTTGACGAGACTACTCACTGTATGAAAAAAACAAGAAGTCGTACCATAGCTACTGTGCCCATGTGAGCTTCAGCAATTCATAACGGGATGAGGGGGTGTCAGAACAAAATAACAAAACAATTAGACCCTTTGTGACCCTATGCAGCTTCAAATAGATTGATAAATCTTGAAGCAAAAATATTATAGAGTTGGAATATATTGAAGATTAATTTGTAGTAGAGTACTTATAGATGGGTTTTGGATGTATAGAACTTGAAAGTGTTACAGATAAAAACTAGCCTAGTATCCAAACAAGAACAACAACGACTTAAATCAACACATAGTTAACTAAAAATTTGAGAAAAATCATTAAAAAGTAGTTCAAAGAGATTTTAAGAGTAGTTAATACAGCAACAATTCAAGAAAATCAAGGAAGTGGAACAAGTTAAAAGATATCTGCCGAACTGAAGAATCCAAACCCCATCATGTACATCTAAATAAGCTCACAATACCTACAAAAGATAGAGAAATTAAATTGAAATTGAATTGGTGAAATTTCTCCAATTAAATTAAATTAAATATGTAAGGTGAAAAGTGAAATTAAATATATTGTCAAGGCAAAATAAATTGAATTAAATTTGTAAGCAGAAAAGTGAAATTAAATTTCTAAGCGGATTTGAACTTTACTTAAAACCTTTAGATATGCACTGAGTAGTCAATAAAAGTCGAAGTGACAACTCTTATAAAGCTGATGCATAGTTGTTCAGGTCATAAAGGTTGACGTAACAACTCTTTTACAATAATTTTAAACATACAGCTACCATGTGAACCTCCTAAAGTATGACAAGTCACTGTCGGCATGTGAGTTTAGAGTTTATAAGACATGAATACCTGCGTCTATTTCCATTTTGAATTTGTGCATGTTGCAACAACTGTGCATATGTAGTATAAAAATATTGCATCAAAGTTTTATAGATATATTGAGAGATATCATCATGAGATATACGGTGGTTGATCTATATTCAGCAACGAGTTGCCATTGGGTTGCAGATGGAGATGAATTTCAATACCCATTAAATCCAAATTTGCGTTACTTACATACCACTGTTAATACCATGAGAGCTGAGTGGGAATTTCGCATAACTCGAACAAGCGTTCTCGTTGAGCTATGTCGTGAAGTTAATGTTAAATTTCCTTGACGGTTAGCCATGTGTATGCCAATTGACACTCCACTGTTGTTGCAAAAGGCATTGCATCGTATCCGCGACGAAGTTAATCGCATGACCCAACGTTTGCAAAGGTCTAAACTAATGAAGACCGCAAATAAGCGTGCCGAAGATGGGTTAATGGATGATGCGCACCAATACTTCACTTGAAGCATGGATGCTATGTATGAATTTCACATTGAGATGTCAGATGATGAAGATAATGAATGAAATTGATTGGATGAATGACCAAACCATTTCTCTTGTAATAGCTCTCTAATGCGTATCCACGACTTATCAATGAAGGGAGAAATGTCAATAGTTTTTGAATAGTTCTTGTAATTCTACAAATAACAATTACCTTTACTTTCTCTCCGTTATTGTTATTTTGAAGACCGCTTATTGAAAGTGTGTTCCAAGTTTAGTGAAAGTGAAAGAATATATATAGATTGTTACATTTTATTAATTTGATTTTTATTTTCTACATAATGTTTGGTTTATGGAATTTTTAGATTTCATTTCATTGATTCGCCAATCTTCCTGGTGACTAACAAGTTTGTTTGTACAATTTTCAGAATTTGTATATCAATTTCTCAAAAAATTAATTTAGATTACATGTGATAACATATCAAATGTTAATGTCATTTGATTTGTTCATCCATTTTGTGCATGTCTTAATAAATAATAATGATTACTTAAAAAGAATTTTTTAAGTAAACCTAAATAATTAATGAGGTAATACAAGAGTTGATGTCCTATAACACGCCAAAAAAAAATAATTTAAATATAAGTAAACCTATGAAATTTACGGTTCAACCACTTAAACAGCACAGACAATAAAATTAATAAGCTTAATTATTTCCAAACTTTCAAAGTTAACAAAAGGAAAAATCAAATGCTACTTACGGGCTAAGACAATGTATGTCCGTAATTAAGGGATTTGATCTCTTAATTTATGTTCATTTGTGGGAGAAACTCTGGTATTTCCCGTGACAATACCCCAAAAAATAGCACTTGAATCTCTCTGGGCCTTTGTTATAATCAAGCAAAATATTGGAGTATAAAATATTAGAAGAAATGATCATATCATATAGCAATATCATTATTCAAAATGCATTATAAGCGATGCAAACATTTGAGAAAAAAATATAATATATAAATAATTTAGAAAAGTTCTATAATACATCTCAAAAAAATGGGGTACCACTGGATTGAACTCACATTCCTTTGGAAAAAAATTGATTATCACTTTGGCAAAAGCTATGTACCACTAGATTGAAATTCACAAAACCCTAGCTCTAACCCTCTCTAAACCCCAATTTGAATTCACAGAACCCTAACCCTAACCCACATTGGTATCTTCCAAACTTCCTCCCTTACTATTCTACCCACATTCGCATTTTTACAAATGAAATCAACATAAATAAAATTCAAACTGAGAAAGAGAGAGAGACAGCGCCAACATACCTGCGAGAGAGACGAGCTCAAAGAGAGAGAGGAAGGTGCAGCGAGTGACAGAGAGAGGGAGAGTCACTGCGAGCGACCCACAGAAAGAGAGAGAGAGTAGAGAGCGATAGAGGGAGGAAGGTTGCCTCTAGTCGGGGTTTTGGGGGAAAAGAAAGAGAGGAGGTAGAAAGCGTGGTTGCAAATGAGGGGGGGACCATTTTATAATGACTTTCTGTTAAAAACGTGTTTTCAAATCACATGATCATTATCTGAAAGTGTTAATAGTAACAACGCTTTCTTAAGTAAAGGCGTGTTTTCTAACAATACTTTCATAACTTTACTGCCTGAGCCAGAAACATGCTGAAAACGTGTTCTTAGTTTGAGAAATTCGGTCAAACTAGACTTAGGCCTCGTTTGGGAACAAACATTTTTAGTAACTTTTTATTTTTTTGGCTAAAACATGATGTAAAAAAAATTAGTATGTTTGGAATGACTTTTTGACTTTTTATAAAAAAATATATAAAAAGTAGAGAGAAAATGAAATTTTTATTTTTTTGATATGAGTTATTAACTTTTTAATTTTTTAATAACTTTTTAATTTTTTAATTAAAATAACCACTTAACAAACGAGGCCTTAATTTGAAAAATAGCCTTAATTTGAAAAATAACTTAGTATGTTAGTATAGGAGTTTAGTTTGGGAAAAACCCCCGAAAATTAGAGTGACCCTCATTTTCCCGCCATGTGACTTTCCCGGCAAATCGTGACCCTCTCTTTTTCTCTTCCAATCTGTTTCAATTTGTATCTAGGTTTTTGTTGTTACTCATTTCCAAACTCACATCCATACCTCTCTCTCTACCCCCAAAAATCCCACCCTCGATTTTATATTTTCTCCAAGGGTTTCTTGTGAACCAATCTGTGGAAAAGGAAATCCAAAATCGAATTCTTCTAACTTAATTGTTGTTGGTGTTGTTGTTGAAGCAGAATCATGACGTCTTTGTCGTGGAGACACCACACTCTGATTCAAGCTCTGCTGTCGCGTGGTCCTCTCAAGGACCAAGAATTCCACTCCATCTTTTCCGGTGTTACTGGCAAAACCCCAGGTCTCTCTCTCGCCCTCTCTTCCAACCCGTATCTTAGATTTCACCTACCTACTCTTGTTTTGTAGAAACTTTATTTTGACTATGATTGCCACAAGTTCATTATTCAGCTTTATTTTGTGTATTTGAAGAAGATCAACTAACTAGACATTTTTTTATTTGATTTTTTTTTTTGGGTTAATATAATTTATATAGAGTTAACTGTGCAGATATTTTTAGGTGCAAAAATCGCAACTTGAATGGGTGTCATTGTTGTCCTCATGTTTTTATTTATTTTTTATTTAATTCCATTGGTCTGTTGTTTGATAATTTTATTTTTTTAATTTCCCTGCTTTAGTGCCCTATTGTAAGGTTTATAATTGGGAACCAAAAAGTTTTTAGTTGTATGCTTTTGGACTCTGGGATTGTAGGTTACCAATTCCAGGCCACTGCTTGAATGATTTCAAACATTCAGACCTGAAGCCAGGATTTTGGCTTAGAGTGGGCAGCATTAAGCCATAAAATTATGTATTTCATGTAAAAATACCAATAAATACACCTGAAAAGAAAGAAGCCTATATGTATTATGTTATGTTATATCATAAATATTTAAATATCAAATTTAGCAAATAAAAGTTTAATTTAATTTCATAAAATACTCCATAACACTCCATCCATCTAGAAAGAACCAACAAGTTTTATTTTTCACACAGTACACTCTTGCCGAATTGTAACAATGTTGGATGATTTCATGAAAAAAAAAAAATCAACATTGTCATGTGTCAAACAATGAGCAAGGGTCATTTATGCCAAACATCGGTTCACTATCAGATTCTGCCCAAACAACAAAGAGCAAAATCAGGGCAAGCAAGAGTGAGCCCAAAGCTGAACTGCCCCGTGTTGTTCCTAATAGTGCATCATGACTGCAGAATATGCCAACCATTTAAACATAGACCACAAAATCTCGCAAAACACAAGATTCAAAGACAAACAATAAAGCCTAAAAAAAATACAATCAATCGAAATGGCATGTGCAGTGTGTACAACTCACAAAATCTATAAACGGAGATCAAATAATACAAATGAGTGTGAAATAATATAAAGTAGGATTTTTTTGGCATAATGAAAATTTTCTGATAGGTTTAAATTTTAAATTTATCCAGGAAAAAGAAAATAAAATCAACTATAAATCTCATTTTTGTACGAATAATTAAAAAAGACATGGATTCTTTATGCAAATATGTTTTTATTATTTTCTTAATTCAAGCAAAAAAATTTTTTTTTTTTTGGGGGGGGGGGGGGAATCAACTTCTTTCACTGCATTTTGTATATCTTTTTCCACCTAAAATTCTAGATTCAAACATAGGCATTAAAGGAAAAAATTATAGGGATTTTGTTAAAAAGAGAAAAGAAAAGAGGGGTTTCAAAGATTTAGGTGGTATATATGAAATGTAAGGGGGAAAATTGAATTAAGTTATTACAAGAATGGGTAAAAATAAAGGTTTACAAAGTTTGAGAGGGGGTAGCTGCTCCCAGACTCCTGGTGACTCCGTTACTGCAGTCTGTAGACACTAGCCATTTTCTTTTTGCTTGCATTTGTGTGTGCCTAGGAAGCACGGGTGCGGGTATGGGTATAGGTACATTGATAAAGCAAAATTAGACAAAAATAGGATACGGGTATGACTAGGGTATGCCCAAAGCATAAATGTTTTCATAGTTTGAGTAGTGCATGGTATATAACAATTAGAAAGACGAATGTAAAAAATAAATGAAATAACAATTAGAAAAATAGAGAACAATTGATTTGAGGATGGAGAAAACAAATATGAAGATGGGTACTCCAAGAGAGAGGACTGTTAAAAAAAGTAGAGAGGAAGCCAAAAAAGAACTCCTAGTATTTTAATTTTTTTGATAATTTCAAAAATATACTGTATGTTTAATTTTTTAAAAATACGCACAATATGCTTGTTCTACTATATTTTTAAAAAATTACATATATGGCCCGATGTACCCACAAAAGAACCCAAAAGGAACCTATCCCATACTTGAAATATACCCACACCGTATTCAAAACATATCGATCTCGTATCCAAGATGTTACTCCCCAATTTTCAAAGAGTAGGCGGAAACTAATTAACCTAAGCGTGAGGTTTTTAAGTGAGCTCCATTTATTACTTAATTCATTCTCAAAATCACTTTCCTTAGCCAATTCTCATTTGATTATAAAAATGTGGTTTACCTCGTAAAATGTGGCTGTTATCATTTTCTTAAACTTAAGCAAAATTTAAATGACAAAAGAAATTTTTCGGGATATAACTGACTAGCCTTGGGAAATGTGTATAATTTATTATTTTTTATAGAAATAATAATTAAATGTTTTTGAAAAGCATGTGAAACACTCAATTACATAATGTATTCCCAGAAAGTGAAATGCAACATAATATAATAGAGGAAATGTTTAAATTACAGTCCCGAGATTAATTAATGCAAATAATTTGACAAAAATGTATGAAGGCACGCAGGCCTAATTAACCTAGGGTCTAAACTTAACAAAATAAACTACGTTCTGACACTCACAACAGCGGGCGTCCATCAGTATCTACACAATGCAGGGGGGTGAGTAATGACACTCGCCCGACAATAATCTCATAGCTACATTATTAAGCATGCGGGTACAGTGATAGAATATATAATGCAATGGACATGTTTGATCTCATAAACACATACCATGTCTAAACCGCAAATAAATACCTACTAGGTCCTAGCCTGAGCATGCCCCAGGCTCCCTCTGAGCCGCATGGCAGAAAATCCATACCGACCTCTCCACAGAGGCTACTATTCCTCTCAACTGTGCAATGTTTGGGATTCTAACCCGCAAATAGTTGGATCTATTATCTCCTCAAGCGTATTGGACCACAATATCGGCTATAAGCCTATAACCCGGGCCAAGCCCATAAAATCAATAATACCGGGACACACCCGAAAAGCAACTAAAGTATAGTAAATACAAACACCAGTTATTTAATAATTAAGTTCCACTTTTCTACACTTTGAATATTTTTCAACACTAGCCACTTTCTCAACAATTCCTCTTTCTAGCTAATTTTATCCAATTGCCCCTATGACTATAATAGTACATATACTGTAAGCATTACCATTTGTTCTATTAAGTCCCAAATCATTAAATAATTCAATTAAGTCACTAAACTAACTTAATCATAAAATAATCATTAAAATGTATATTTAATGAAACTAGCAAGTAAACTAAATTGAAATTTATAAAAAAAATATCAAACCACTATCAAATCAAACCATCTTTTAAACTAAGTCAAATTATTCCATTATTAATCTAACTAAACTATTTTCTCCAATTTTTCAACAATTTAAATTTAAATAATTCAAAAAAAATTCAAAGTTGTTCAAATCTCATGTTCTTTATATCAATAGTCTTTTAATATGCCATAAGGTACACTTTTTAATGTTTGACATGAAAACCCTAAATTAATTAAATAATGATTATTTATTTATTTATTTATAGAAGACATGACAATATTATACTCAAAATTTATGAAATCATGCAACACTATCACTCTTAAGGATTTCATAATGATAACTCAACTCTAGTTTAAAAATGAGTTATTAAGCATGAAACAAAGCTTGAATAGGAATTTAGCTTAATACATTCATAACATGGATTAATGGAGCATTAGTTTCATGGATTGAAATATATATGAAACAAATCATGAATACAAAACTAACTCATACTTTTCATGCTTGAAATCATACTATTAGTTAAAAAAATAGAAACCCCAACATGCTTCTAATGGAGATGTGAGAAGACCCCTACCTTTAACGAAGCTTTTTGTCTCACCTGAAAGCCTAACAACAAATAATTTAATATATGTAATAATTCATACTAAATCATTAATTAATTTTATCAATCCAAAGGCATATAATCAATCTTAAATACGACAAAATAATCACAAAGCTCCATTCAAATAGATATTTCGATAATCAAGTTTATATATTTCTTAACACACTTAGCAAAAGTAAGCTAATACATTATTCTTTGGTGTTTTGTGTAAGGTGTAAGAACTTGTGTAAGCAAAAGTAAGAATTCCCCCAAGGTGCTAATCTAACAACTAACCATTGACTTTCGCTAATCGGAAAAAAAAAGGTTTTTGAAAAAAGAAAAAGACGGACTTTTGGAGAGAGATGAAGAAGGTTTCGGTCAAGATGCTTGGAGGATCTCAAAATTGTTCAAAATTGATTTATTAAACTTTTTCCTTTATCCCTCCAAAGTCTTAACTCAAATCTGTACAAACTAATACAATTTTTGTACGTTTTTTGTACTAGAATTTAACAAAATTTGCAAGGACAAGTAATAATAATAAAATATACACAAATAACACACAATTAGTAATTATAGGGCTCGAAGAGTCCATCTCTCAAATCTCAAGTCGGATAGGGCCCATATGCATGCATAACGAGACAATCTATGTATTGAGATTTTCGATTCACCAGAATATCTCCAAATTAGCTAATAACAGTCTACAAGCATAAAAGCATTTGATACCAAGCCTGGTGAGTCTATCTCTCGAAACTTGTGCCGATTCAGATTCAAGTGCACATAAATTGAGATAAACATATGTGTAGAAAGTTGAACGACGAAAGTCTAAATTAAAAAGATTAGGGAAATTGATGGCTTTAATTTTTTTTTATTTTTATCAACAACAAACGACTTTATTGATAAATCAAAAAAGGAAGTGAGGATGAGGCATCCTCTTACAAAAGGAAAAAGAGAAAACAAAGAGCAAAACCCTAATAAGATAATCTCAGGCAAAATCCTACATATCACACACTGTCAGCCAATCTCTAACTAACAAAAAAAGTGGGACCCCCTTAAATAAAGAATTCCTTAAAACCCCAAAAGAAGTTAAGTGGCAAACACTATCTCACAAACAATCCACCTCCCGGACCTTATCTTCAAACAACCTCGCATTTCTTTCCATCTATAGAACCCA